GACCAAGCGAGGCAGGAGCAGGTAGCAGAAGAGTGTCACCAGGGTGCCAACGCATGGCGTGATGAAGTAGCCCAGCGCCGCCGACTTAGATTCCGCACCACCTGAGGGACAAGCAGGCACGTTTAGCGCGCCAAGGAGAACTTGATGAACATTCCTTTTCGGTTACCAGGCAACCAGAAGGATCCGCGTGTGCGCTTACTGGCATTGGCCAACAGCATGGCCATGGCGGCAAACGTGCCGGCGAGGCCCTGGCCGCTCATGAAGATGGCGCTGTACTTCTGGGGCAGCATGCCCACCAGGCCGAAGAGACTTCCCTGCAGCACGGCACCAAATGCTGCGGGAGGAGCACCGCAGATAGTTTTTAGCAGGGTCGCGCATGGTGCGCGCAATACGGCGGCGGCCGCTGCTTACAGTTGATGAACCAGATGGTCGCCATGGTGACGGAGAAGAAGCGGTCACTGTCCATTTCCACCTTCACCAGCACGGCGGTGAAGATGAAGAGCAACAGGATGAAAACCAGGCTGCCGGCGATGCGCACGGCCTCGGATATCCTGGGTTGTAAAGCAAAAGGTGTCAAAACCGAGGCCCGGGGGTCACAATGGATCTATTACATCATTTTATGCGGTCCGCTAAAGCAAATCCAGTGTCTGCACGAACATAATCGGCTGCAGTATATGAGGTAACGTTGTCATTTTACGGTCAAGAAATGAAGTTGAGACGAATTCCAACCCCAAAAGTAAGAGATGCAATTTTACCATTAAAAAGAAAAGTTGTCATTTTATGAGCAGGACTAAAAACAATTTAGATAACCTATGTTACTAAGAGAAATTTGCAAAAGCTGTCATTTTAAAGTTCATTTTGGAATTTGATGAGGAAAATAAGCTGTTCCATTTCCGGTTGCAACCCAGCACGGTTTGGATAATGGATAATCTATTGATTATTTGTCGATTAATCAATGAATTGGGACACACATCGACAAACAGCGGTTCGCGCTCTCAATCACACCCAGGGACAATTTAGAGCCTGCCGTGCATGTTTTTGGAATGCGGGAGGAAACCGGAATACCCGCAGAAAACGCACACAAGCACGGGGAGAACTCCACACCGGAAGGCCGGAGCCGGAATTGAACCCTGCACCTCCGCACTGTGAGGCCGACGTGCTAACCAGTCCACCACCGCGTGGCCGGAAATATTCATCAAGTGAAAAAAATTTGATCCTAAAGTTTTAATGTGAATGATGTTCTAATATCAAATGCTGAACGGCAAAAAAAAAAAAAAAAAAAAAAAGGGCATCTGATCCACTGAGCGTTTCTGTGACTTTTCCTGTCTTTCTGGGTCAACCTGCTGATGACATTTACGGCAATAATAAGCAGGAATATTATTAATTCCTGACGTTTGTGAGTCGCGTGACTCATGAACATCAAAGGTTTGCCATCCGCGTGACCTGCGCTAAAAACGTCCGCCCGACCAACCTCTGGTAGAGGATGGAGTTGAGCAAGGTGAAGAGCAGCAAGGGCAGCTGGGACAGCAGGGTCATACAGCTGTTGAAGTACTTGCTGTTGCTGTTCTCGCTGCCGTCTGTGACGTTGGACGCATTCAGGCGCTCTTGGAAATACTGCAGAGAGGAGAAAAAAAATAAATAAATAAAATCCCGTTTCAGCAAATATTGGAAAAGGGGAACAGACACTGAAGAAAGGAAGCGATGGCAACTCGTGATGATACGGGTGACCGCCATTATGCGCTTAAAAACAATTTGAAGTGCGAAAGGCCACTTGTGAGCTTCGGGCAATGAAAATGAAGGCAACACACAGACGAAGATGAAGGGGCTGATCAAGATGGCGAACCAATCTCTCTCTTTTTTTTTTTTTTTGGTCAATGGACAAGACAGCTTCTTGTTTACTTCCAAACTAGCTTGTAGCAGACGTGTGCACATTTTGAGCATGACGTCTCTGATGCACGCACGGGTGAAAGGACGCTTTGACGCTTTCCTCTTTCATCGATAACTGCTTCAAAAAATAAAGCGTAGGCTGAAAATATGCAGTATTTTGTTCTTGTGTGTTAGCCATTCTGTAAAGCGCCTTGTGACAGGCGCAGGTGTTGCGAAAGCGGCGATATAAATAAAGTAGGCACACGGTTCCCCTTTATCAGTCTTACACACACACACACACACACACACACAGACACATCTCTATCCCCCCTTTCTCTCTTTTTTACCAATGAGGCAGTCATGAAGAAGTTCCATGGTAGCAGCGTCCCCAATCCCAGGATGAAGAAACATATTCCCACCAAGTAGCCCCTGTAACATAATACCAAATATCCACACTTGAATAAGGTGCCATTGCCTGGAGTGCAAATACAATTCAGACTCACCAGTCGGAAGGAGCATCTTTCCGTCCCTTCATTCTTACGCAGGGGTGGTCTTGCCAAGCTAAAGGACACAAGGCGACGACTTCTCAGCACAACAGTTCCAGAAAAGAGTCACTTGCGTTTTCACTTTTCACACTGCACTGCGGGAGGACAAAACGCAGCTACCAATGTGTGCATCATGGAGAATGAAAGGTGTGCAAAAGTACAGAAAAAGGGGCCAGGAAAGGTGTGGCAGCAGGTATCCTGCCAACGTTTTGCCAATTGCACAGTTGTGTGGTGCTGTCCTTTTACAACTCTGCTCCTCTGAGCAGCACATGTCGGAGGAAATGAGAAGCTATGTTCAGAGAAGGAGTCCCACAGCATCACATGGTCAGAAGTTACTTAAACAGGAAGTACACACTTGTTAAAAAATGGGTCGAAGATAAGAAGGCAGTCTTAAAAAAGTCGTCTGAATCTTAGGAAGGAAGGATACAAAATAAAATGGGTGTCTGGGGGAATGAAGAGGAAATGCCAGATGGATGTCGAGGTGTCTGAATAAAAATCAGGTCTGAGGGTGGAAGCGACGAATGAGGTCAGGAAAAAAGTAAGACAGAATAGCATGACAATGCAAGACTAAAAAACTGGTGCGAAGGAAGGAAGTAAGCGTAAAAGGAGCATGTCTTTGGCAAAGGATGGATGTAAGAATTTGAATCAAATAAAACAATAAAATTGTGTCTGAAAGAAGGAACAAAGGAAGGAAAACGAAATCAGTAGTTTTGGCTAAGATAAAGGGCCAGCTTCAAAGACTAGAAATAACATACAGTGATTTATCATGTTGCAACATCACGAACACATTAGCGCTCATAACACTTCGGTGAAACACACTGGAGCCCTGCATCCTCTCGGTTCCGCACCCACGGATTCATTGATTAGTGTTTTTTTTTTCCCCATACGGTTGTCTTTGGCCTGCCACGACCATATTTTGTGGTGAACTCATATCGAAAATTTATTAGCATTTCGTAAATATTTTGCGGGGACTTAAAACAACAACAAAAAAAAAAACAACCACCATCTCAATAAGCGTTAATTCCACGCCAATGTTCGCCCTATCCCAGTGAATATCGGGGGTCCACTGTACAAAATAATCGTTGATTTGCTATTGCTATGAGCACACCTGTTGGGGTTTTAACTCAAAAACGCGTTTTCGTAAAAAAAACGATTAAAAGAAAACGAGCTGGGTAGAGCGTATCGTGAAATGTGCCGACCTTCGCTCAGGTTTGACGACCACATTTTTTTGTTATGAGGAAGAAAACGACATTTTATTGACGTTACGTGGGTTTGTGTAGGACTGGGAAGGCGCTTACTTGAGGAAAAAAAAGCGTGTCACTTCACGTGGCCTTCCCGCCGATGATAGCGACGTGAACAAATCCACAAAAATGCTTCCTCCAATTGCTTCCTGGTTTCGTGGCGTCGCAGCTTGAAGCCGTTCTTGGTTTCGCGTGTCTTGGGCTCACACAGACAAATTTAAAATGACACACAAAAGGCCAACCATTCCTTTTCCACGCATCGTTGAAGGCAGCACGGGCGCCAAGATCACTTTTCAGCAGGAGCACTTCGGATATTACGTCACACATGTCATCGTGGCGTCATCAGACCGCGCGATCCAGCGACGCACACTGTATTCTGTACTGTATATGGATTAATAAATTGTTCGTTTTGTTTTCTGTGACGTGAAATTTGACTTGTTCAACTAAGATTTCTTTTTTTTTTTTTTAATCCAGCGGGCACCCGGCATTTTCTGGTCAATTTCGAAAGGGGACTCGCAAGGGGAAATTGAGATTTTAATGTCCATAATAATTACGGATTCAGTTCACTTTATAGCAAGCAGCAATTGGCAAATGCTGATGAATAATATCAAATTATTCGTACCTCCCAGTTTAAGTTTACTGTCAAGCAAAACATGCCAGAAATTACATGGTTTGCTCATTGAAACAGCCACATAATTTAGCTTTAAGAAAATCCACACAACATAAAGTGTCACAGATGAGTTGACTCCAAATTACGGTGCGAGCAATGGGTGTGGGGGGGCGGCTGATGAGGGGCAATGGAAAAAACATTCAGAGTTGTGAAGAGTGACAGGTTTGACCATATTAAGTTTAATTTAATTGCACTTAAATCAAAATGCATTTATTGATTTGGGACACATATCAATGACAAAAGGTCATTTCTCATTGACGTCTCCCCAAACATTTGTCCTTCCCTCCTCGATTTTGTTCTCTCTGGTGGGAGACGCTGAAATGTAAGCAGAGGAGCAAGGACCAAGGACAGAGGAGTTTGCAAATAAATGAGATTTAACCAAAATAATGTTGTATGCTGTCTGTGTTGCTGCCGGTAATTTTAATTTTTAAAATTGATTCTAATTTCCGGAATAGATATGCTAATTTCCGAAAGGCCACCTTTCATGAAATTACTCTGTAGCCTCAACAACTTTTCGACTAACTAGCCAGGGCTGTGAGGGCCCTTTTTAGTTGCAGATCTAATTCTTTGCATAATGAATCACTTGAGGGCCTGAACATGCACCAAAAAACAAAACAAAACAACATTTTGCACACACATCAGGCCTGAGGAACATTTTGACATTTTAACGTTCTCATGCACAATGACAAAAAAAAAAAAAAAGTAGCCCCTACAGTGCTTCAACAAAACCCTATTGCGTACGTTCAACCAAGGCAGAGATCTCCGTCTATGAGGTTACACTTTACATGTTAGCATTTAGCTTGCGTACTTTTGTTTACCAACATTTCATTTCATTGTTTGAACATTTTGGTGTATTTCTCGGCTTTTCACCTTTTGCGGGTGGGTCTGGAATCTATGCCTTGTGATAAATGGAGGTTTATCGTATCTTTGTGTTCAGCAAAACAGGACAAAATTCAAGGATTTTTGTGGCTAAATTGAGATGAGATTATCATGATTTCGGGACATACAGATATAGAAAAATTGTGGAGCAAAACTATCATCTTTTGCCAACAGCCCTTTTTTTTCCAGTGCTGTCTACTTTTGGTGTCATTTGTGTTTGCTGGTGTGCGATGAGATTCCTCGGCTCCCAAAAAGTTGGGCATCACTGGTTTATATACATTAATATAATGTAGAGTTGCCAGAGTTTAAAAAAATAAAATGAAACCAGTTTGCATAAATGAATGAAGTACCCAAGTTAATGGGTGTCCCACCTCCTTGTCAAAATAAGACATTTCTCAAGGATTTGGCTAAGTTTCAAGAATCCCACGTCCACGTGTGCGAGTGGTGTGAAAAGTACGTTTGCTCCGGAAAGACGGCGGCGTGCGTGTCCCGTAAACTGTTGGATTTCTTCATCTGCAAACGTTGGCTGGCGATCATTTTCTCCAGCTGGACCATCTCCTGCTTCTGGGTGGCCATGCAGCGCTTGATGTTGACGAGGGGCGCGCCGTCGGACACGCTGCTGTTCCTCTCCTCCGTCTCCTGCTTCACCCGCTTCAGCTCGTCGTCCATCTCGGCCAGGATTCGCGCCTTCTCCGTCAGTCCCTCACTGGCTTGCCGGTACTGTTCCTTGACCTGGCCCAGTTGAGCCTGAGCGTTGCGGTACTCCTGGATCAAGTGCTCCAGCTGGTTGTTGATGTACTTCTCGCGACTGCGGACCTTCTCCAAGGTCTTCCCGATGTCCTCCTGTAGCCTCTCCAGATAGCCTTTGGCCTCTTTGAACGAAGTCGAGATGCCGTCCCGGTGCCGGTGCATCTGCTCCACGTGGATCCTCCAGTCCTTGTTGTCGTTCTTGACGGTGACTTTGAGCTGCGGGAGGACGCGCTCCACTTCCAGGTACCATTCCGCCGCGTCCACCATGGACTGCAGGATCTCCGTGTTGACACAGGACATCTTGGCTTCGGGGTGAGCGCTTCGTAATTTCAAGGCCTCCAGGTCCAGAGCATGCTCCTCGTCGTCGTCCAGCTCCTCCATCACCTCCTCCTCGACATGAAGCTCGATGTCTTCCTCCACCGCAAACGGTTCTTCCGAGTCTTCCCTTGCGTACTTTGGACTCCTGAAAGAGAAGCCCCTCTTCTTAAGCGCCTCCTCGGCTAGCCTGTCCAACACGAAGCACACATACTCGCCCGAACCCGACAGGAGTTTGGAGGGCGGGAAGTCCACCCGGACGCCAAACGCTCGCAGTTCGGCGAGAATGTCCGACATGGTGGCGCTGGGTTCGCCGTACTCCACGCGCTCGTCGAACGGCCTCCCCGCCGCATTGATGAGCCACGCCGCGATGATGGTGAACATGTAGAACTGCTCGCCCGGGTTGGACTCCAGGTAGGGACTTGACACAAAGTAATGCCTGGTCAAGTGCCTCATGTTGTGTTTGGCCAGGACTTCGTCTTGGTAGTTTAAAATGTGCAGCTTGTCCAGCAAACGCTCCATGGCCACGAAGGCCTGGTAGGCTGCTCCGGGCCCGCGGTCATCCTCGTCACCGCGGCGGTGGTGTGCCATGTGTGCACCCGGCGCACAATGGATCCGCTTGGCTGATGTTGATCGAAGAGAAGAGAAAAGGCCTGTCATCTCTGTTAGCGAAGCGGTAAGCCGTCGCCTTGTTGCGATGTTTACAGAGCGGTTGTCATCTCTGTGGAGAGGTGCGCCGCCGCACCGCGGTGATGTCATCAAAGTGGTTGTCGCCTCTGTTGAGAAGTGTTGTGTGGGCTGCTGTTTATGATGTCATAGCGCTTGTTCGCTGGACTTGCAGCAGTTGAGTGGCGGGAAGTAATCCAGACGGTGTTAGCTAGCAGCTATGCTATCGCGTCGATTATTTTATGTGATTGATTTTGAGTACACAGTTCATTTCCGTTAGCCGTTTGGCTAGCTGACTCGATTGACCCAGACTTTATTTGACCAGATGAGTGGATATAATTCATTTGCATTTTCTAGAGGTCGCAGTTGGTGAGAGCTTCCCCCCCAACCAAGTGCACTTGAGGCCGTTCGGCCACTCAAGAGGAGAAAAGCAGCAGACGTGCATGTTATTGGGAGTGATTTATTCCAGGAGGAGTGCTCTGTGCTTCCTGATGAGGACATTGAGATCATTTTAATAGCAAAAAAAAAAAAGGAATCAAACCGCACAAATCAGAAAGAAGGGAAAACAAGTGCGGAATCTGTGCTTGGAAGTTAGGCAGGGCCGTCGCATGTGTCTACCCTTCCTGGAATTCCCATGCGGTTCCTTGACACACGGGGCAATGACAAAAGACTAAAAAAACAAAAAAAAAACAAAGGGCAAGCAGAAAAATCTGTACAAAAACATGAAACCGAGTCAACTCTGCTATCAAAAGCCTCGGGACACACATTTCTCAACTCATCAATTAGGAATTTGAATTTCTTGTACAAAGCGTTTGCAGAGGGGCGGAAGCGATCCAGTTCTTTCCATTTTCATTTCCTGGAGGCATCCCAAAACATTTGACCAGAGAGTCTTCACACCGATAGTGCAGCCACACACAGTGGAGAATTTTCCCAAAAAAGTGTCTACAGAGATAGATGACGAGTGTATCAAAAATATCCATATTCATTGTATTTGCTGCAATTGTATCAAAACGGGATGACATTATTCCCAGTCCGTCCCGGATATAAACATTACGGAGTGGAAAATAAAATGCATGTCAAAAAAAGGAAGTGCTTAGTCCCAACTCGTAAAGGCGGTGGCGGCCCTCGTCTCTTGGCCTGAAAACGGTCAGAAGCACTGACTTACATCGACAACCTCTCAATTCTCATATTGGCTTCATAAAATCGCTTGAACTTTTTCCCCGCGGTGAATTCTTATCATCTGGCGGCGTTTCTCTTGGTGGTACTTTTTTTCCAGTAAATGGAAGTGTCCAATTTCACTTTCTATGTGGTGTGCTGTCAATCTAATCTTGACCGGGGGCCTTCTGACTCAGTCGTGCTGGCTCATGTCACTTCAGTTAATTCTATGAACAACCGGAATGTTTCTTGAGCCAATCGCATTTCCCACAATCCCGGGATTTTTACATCTTCTGATTGGTCGGCCAGCGCAAAGCTAATCATTTTGTTGTCATCTGCACACGTGACTACATTTGATAATCAGCATCTTTTAGAAGTCATTTTCACCGCTGCTTATCCTGCACAGAATCGCCAGGGGGTTGCTGGAACCCATCCCAGCTGACTTTGGGCCAAAGTCTTGAACTGGTCACCATCCAGGGTGCCTGTATTTAATATTTTTATCTTTTTGTCTCATTATTAGAGAAATTCAATATTAGAGAAATCCAGATGATGCCCGTGGCGGCATTACGCGTCGAGTTTGTGAAGGCTTCTAAAATTGTGAGGCCAAGGGCCGCCACTGCAAAAAAGGTCACTTAAAAAAAACAAAACATCAAAAAACACAAAAACAACAACAGTTGCTGTGTTAAACATCCAAGTGAAACAAAGTGAACATTTAGATTTACACATTTACATCAACCCTTTCCCACTGCGCGCTAGGCCTAATATAGGCTGATAGAGTTAAAAAAAAAAAAAAAA